TTTTAAAAATATTTTTTAAAGGATCTCTAAGAAACGTGGATTTTTAAAAATATTTTTTAAAAGACCTATAAGAAACGGGAATTTTTTTAGAAATATTTTTTTTAAAGGTCCACCAAGAAACGTGGATTTTTAAAAAGTATTTTTTAAAGGTCCATTGAGAAACGTGAATTTTTTTTAAATATTTTTTAAAGGTCAATCAAGAAACGTGGATTTTTTTAAAATATTTTTTAAAGGTCAATCAAGAAACGTGGATTTTTTTTAAATATTTTTAAAGGTCAATCAAGAAACGTGGATTTTTTTAAAATATTTTTTAAAGGTCAATCAAGAAACGTGGATTTTTTTAAAATATTTTTTAAAGGTCAATCAAGAAACGTGGATTTTTTTAAAATATTTTTTAAAGGTCAATCAAGAAACGTGGATTTTTTTAAAATATTTTTTTAAGGGCAATCAAGAAACGTTGATTTTTTTTAAATATTTTTTAAAGGTCAATAAAGAAACGTGGATTTTTTTAAAATATTTTTTAAAGGTCAATCAAGAAACGTGGATTTTTTAAAATATTTTTTAAAGGTCAATCAAGAAACGTGGATTTTTTAAAATATTTTTAAAGGTCAATCAAGAAACGTGGATTTTTTAAAATATTTTTTAAAGGTCAATCAAGAAACGTGGATTTTTTAAAATATTTTTTAAAGGTCAATCAAGAAACGTGGATTTTTTAAAATATTTTTTAAAGGTCAATCAAGAAACGTGGATTTTTAAAATATTTTTAAAGGTCAATCAAGAAACGTGGATTTTTTAAAGGTCAATCAAGAAACGTGGATTTTTTAAAATATTTTTTAAAGGTCAATCAAGAAACGTGGATTTTTTAAAATATTTTTTAAAGGTCAATCAAGAAACGTGGATTTTTTAAAATATTTTTAAAGGTCAATCAAGAAACGTGGATTTTTTAAAATATTTTTTAAAGGTCAATCAAGAAACGTGGATTTTTTAAAATATTTTTTAAAGGTCAATCAAGAAACGTGGATTTTTTAAAATATTTTTTAAAGGTCAATCAAGAAACGTGGATTTTTTAAAATATTTTTTAAAGGTCAATCAAGAAACGTGGATTTTTTAAAATATTTTTTAAAGGTCAATCAAGAAACGTGGATTTTTTAAAATATTTTTAAAGGTCAATCAAGAAACGTGGATTTTTTAAAATATTTTTTAAAGGTCAATCAAGAAACGTGGATTTTTTAAAATATTTTTTAAAGGTCAATCAAGAAACGTGGATTTTTTAAAATATTTTTTAAAGGTCAATCAAGAAACGTGGATTTTTTAAAATATTTTTTAAAGGTCAATCAAGAAACGTGGATTTTTTAAAATATTTTTAAAGGTCAATCAAGAAACGTGGATTTTTTAAAATATTTTTAAAGGTCAATCAAGAAACGTGGATTTTTTAAAATATTTTTTAAAGGTCAATCAAGAAACGTGGATTTTTTAAAATATTTTTTAAAGGTCAATCAAGAAACGTGGATTTTTAAAATATTTTTTAAAGGTCAATCAAGAAACGTGGATTTTTTAAAATATTTTTTAAAGGTCAATCAAGAAACGTGGATTTTTTAAAATATTTTTTAAAGGTCAATCAAGAAACGTGGATTTTTTAAAAGAAACGTGGATTTTTTAAAATATTTTTTAAAGGTCCATCAAGAAACGTGGATTTTTTAAAAGAAACGTGGATTTTTTAAAAATATTTTTTAAAGGTCCATCAAGAAACGTGGATTTTTTAAAAGAAACGTGGATTTTTTAAAAATATTTTTAAAGGTCCATCAAGAAACGTGGATTTTTTAAAAGAAACGTGGATTTTTTAAAAATATTTTTTAAAGGTCCATCAAGAAACGTGGATTTTTCAAAAATATTTTTAAATGTCTATCAAGAAACGTGGATTTTTTAAAAATATTTTTAAATGTCCCTCAAGAAACGTGGATTTTTAAAAAATATTTTTTAAAGGTCCATCCAAAAACGTGGATTTTTTAAAAATATTTCTTAAATGTCCCTCAAGAAACGTGGATTTTTAAAAAATATTTTTTAAATGTCCATCCAAAAACGTGGATTTTTTAAAAATATTTTTTAAAGGATCTTCATTCATTCTCAATCATTGTGGATTTTTTAAAAATATTTTTTAAATGTCCATCCAAAAACGTGGATTTTTTAAAAATATTTGTTTTTATTTTTATTTTTTAAAGGACCTCCAGGAAACGTGGATTTTTTGAAAATATTCTTTAAAGGTCCATCCAAAAACGTGGATCTTTTAAAAATATTTGTTTTTATTTTTATTTTTTAAAGGACCTCCAGGAAACGTGGATTTTTTGAAAATATTCTTTAAAGGTCCATCCAAAAACGTGGATCTTTTAAAAATATTTGTTTTTATTTTTATTTTTATTTTTTAAAGGACCTCCAGGAAACGTGGATTTTTACAACATTTTTTTTAAAGGAGCTTTAATCAACGTCGATTTTTTTTAAATATTTTTTGAAGGATCTCTAGGAAACATGGGTTTTTTAAAAATATTTTTTGAAGGACCTCCAGGAAACGTGGATTTTTTAAAAATATTTTTAGAGGATCTCCAGGAATAATTTGCTTGCTCTTGCGTATACGTAGCGCCATTAGTCATACGACCTAATGCACCACATAAATGATTTCAATTTTCGAAATTTTTACAAGAAGAATTTTTGTTTCTAACCTCCTTTATTGCCAACCCTTTCTACGTTCTACGTTTATTTTCAATCATATTCTCGACTTTGTATCCATGTCTTTATTTTTTATTTTGCTTTTCTAAAATAAATATTTCTACAATTATTTTTTACATATTCTGGTAGTTCTTTTATGAATTTAAAAAATGGTGTTGCGTGTCTTTAATTAAACAAAAGACAACGACAACAAGGCAACGGAGGCAGCAGTAGAATAAAATCGCTGCAATTCGAAAAAAAAATCCAACCACACATTGTTCGAGCCATAACTTTAGCCGCAGCCAGCAGCCAAAGTAGAAGCGTAAAAAAAGTTGTTTTGGGACAAGGTTATTACGTTGCGACTGCTGCCACCTCGACAAAGTGCAGTTGGTGTTGTTCTACACTTTATTCGATGGCCATAAAAAAACATATTCGCCACTGCATAAAAAGTTGAAACTAAATAGAAAATATTGTTCTTAAGTTTGTAAATATTTTTTTATTGGTTTACTTGTTTGAGAATGTCTTCTAGAAATATTTTTTTATTGCTCTACAGAAAATAATTTATTTGGAAAAATTATTAGACTTAAATGATTTCAGATTTTATCAGAAAAAACCTATTTTTTTTTAAGTTGAAATAGTCATTTGATATTATTCTCTTATTGCTATGTGATCCGTTTCTCCATCTAGTTTCTATATTTGTCAAAATTTTCTCTGTGTGAAGCTCAGTTTTGAAGTTATGGGCAAAATACTAAATTCGAATTGGGTGGCGTATACATGTTGTCGTCAATCATACGCAGCCGGGTACTCCAATGAAATAAGTCGATATTTAGGCATTTCTGGGTACAAAATTATTTAATTCACTACAACTTTCAATATTTATAACTGATATCTACATCTTTTTTTTAAAAAAAAAAAAAAATTAGGACCTTTAAGAAACGTGGATTTTTTAAAAATATTTTTCAAGGTCCTTTAAGAAGCGTGGATTTTTTAAAAATATTTTTCAAGAACCTCTAAGAAACGTGGATTTTAAAAATATTTTTTAAGGACCTTTAAGAAACGTGGATTTTTTTAAAATATTTTTCAAGGTCCTTTAAGAAACGTGGATTTTTTAAAAATATTTTTTCACGGATCTTTAAGAAACGTGGATCTTTTTAAAAATATTTTTTTCAAGGACCTTTAAGAAACGTGGATTTTCTAAAAAATATTTTTTTCAAGGACCTTTAAGAAACGTGGATTTTTTAAAAATATTTTTTCTAAAGACCTTTAAGAAACGTGGATTTTTAAATATATTTTTTTTTCAAGGACCTTTAAGAAATTCGGATTTTTTTAAAAATATTTTTTTTCAAGGACCTTTAAGAAATGCGGATTTTTTAAAAATATTTTTTTTCAAGGACCTTTAAGAAATGCGGATTTTTTAAAAATATTTTTTGAGAGACCTTTAAAAATAACGTGCATTTTTTAAAATTATTTTGTTTTTTAAGAAACGTGAATTTTTTAAAAATATTTTTCTTAGGACCTTTAAGAAACGTGGATTTTCTAAAAATATTTTTTCTTAAGACCTTTAAGAAACGTGGATTTTTTCTAAAAATATTTTTTTCAAGGACCTTTAAGAAACATGGATTTTCTAAAAATATTTTTCTTAGGGCCTTTAAGAAACGTGGATTTTTAAAAATATTTTTCTTAGGGCCTTTAAGAAACGTGGATTTTTAAAAATATTTTCTTAGGGCCTTTAAGAAACGTGGATTTTTAAAAATATATTTTTCTCAGGAACTTTAAGAAACGTGGATTTTCTAAAAAAAAATTTTCTCAGGACCTTTAAGAAACGTGGATTTTCTAAAAATATTTTTCTCAGGACCTTTAAGAAACGTGGATTTTCTAAAAATATTTTTCTCACGACCTTCAAGAAACGTGGATTTTCTAAAAATATTTTTCTCTGGACCTTTAAGAAACGTGGATTTTCGTAAAATATTTTTCTCAGGACCTTTAAGAAACGTGGATTTTCTTAAAATATTTTTCTCAGGACCTTTAAGAAACGTGGATTTTCTAAAAATATTTTTTAAGGACCATTAATAAAATATACCTCCTGGAGATTGCCTGGGCGATGTAAACTATTAATGGTGGACTTAATATTATTTTTCCCATCAATTGCTATGTTGTACAAGCATGCGAAGGCCATTTATTACTCAAATATATTCAGTTAATTTTATTTAAAAATATTTCATTCTTAAAAATTTCTCTCTTAAATAAATTAAAATTAATATCTTGAATATAAAAATAGTTTTTTTTTTCTATTTTTTCAGATGTTTTATTACTTCAATAGTGGATATACTTAGAGAAAATTTGCCCAAATGCTTCCTATTTATACAAGACTAAAGGTAAGAAAAATAATAAAAAGAAGTACTACAAATTACGATGTATTAAAATAAATATCAACTAAAAACAATGTTGACTTTAAGATCCAAGCTACTCTCAGGACACCATCAAGAAACGTGATTTTTTAAAATATTATAAAAGACGATCAAGAAAAAACTTTTTTTAAAGGTCCGTCAAGAAACGTGGATTTTTTAAAAATATTTTTAAGGTCCACCAAGAAACGTACATTTTTTTAAAAAATAGTTTTTAAAGGCCCATCAAGAAACGTGGATTTTGTAAAAATATTTTTTAACGGCCATCAATAAACTTGGGTTTTTTAAAAATATTTTTTAAAGCTCCATCAAGAAACGTGGATTTTTTAAAAATATTTTTTAAAGCTCCATTAAGAAACGTGGATTTTTTAAAAATATTTTTTTAACGGCCATCAAGAAACGTGGATTTTTTAAAAATATTTGTTAAAGGTCCATCAAGAAACGTGGATTTTTTAAAAATATTTTTTTAACGGCCATCAATAAACGTGGATTTTTTAAAAATATTTTTTTAACGGCCATCAATAAACGTGGATTTTTTAAAAATATTTTTTTAACGGCCATCAATAAACGTGGATTTTTTAAAAATATTTTTTTAACGGCCATCAATTAACGTGGATTTTTTAAAAATATTTTTTTAACGGCCATCAAGAAACGTGGATTTTTTAAAAATATTTGTTAAAGGTCCATCAAGAAACGTGGATTTTTTAAAAATATTTTTTAACGGCCATCAATAAACGTGGATTTTTTAAAAATATTTTTTTTAACGGCCATCAATAAACGTGGATTTTTTAAAAATATTTTTTTAACGGCCATCAATAAACGTGGATTTTTTAAAAATATTTTTTTAACGGCCATCAATTAACGTGGATTTTTTAAAAATATTTTTTTAACGGCCATCAATAAACGTGGATTTTTTAAAAATATTTTTGTAACGGCCATCAATAAACATGGATTTTTTAAAAATATTTTTTTAAAGGCCATCAATAAACGTGGATTTTTTAAAAATATTTTTTTAACGACCATCAATAAACGTGGATTTTTTAAAAATATTTTTTTAACGGCCATCAATTAACGTGGATTTTTTAAAAATATTTTTTTAACGGCCATCAATAAACGTGGATCTTTTAAAAATATTTTTTTTAACGGCCATCAATAAACGTGGATTTTTTAAAAATATTTTTTTAACGGCCATCAATTAACGTGGATTTTTTAAAAATATTTTTTTAACGGCCATCAATAAACGTGGATCTTTTAAAAATATTTTTTTTAACGGCCATCAATAAACGTGGATTTTTTAAAAATATTTTTTTAACGGCCATCAATAAACATGGATTTTTTAAAAATATTTTTTTAACGACCATCAATAAACGTGGATTTTTTAAAAATATTTTTTTAACGACCATCAATAAACGTGGATTTTTTAAAAATATTTTTTTAACGACCATCAATAAACGTGGATTTTTTAAAAATATTTTTTTAACGACCATCAATAAACGTGGATTTTTTAAAAATATTTTTTTAACGACCATCAATAAACGTGGATTTTTTAAAAATATTTTTTTAACGACCATCAATAAACGTGGATTTTTTAAAAATATTTTTTTAACGACCATCAATAAACGTGGATTTTTTAAAAATATTTTTTTTTAACGGCCATCAATAAACGTGGATTTTTTAAAAATATTTTTTTAACGGCCATCAATAAACGTGGATTTTTTAAAAATATTTTTTTTAACGGCCATCAATAAACGTGGATTTTTTAAAAATATTTTTTTAACGGCCATCAATAAACGTGGATTTTTTAAAAATATTTTTTTAACGGCCATCAATTAACGTGGATTTTTTAAAAATATTTTTTTAACGGCCATCAAGAAACGTGGATTTTTTAAAAATATTTGTTAAAGGTCCATCAAGAAACGTGGATTTTTTAAAAATATTTTTTTAACGGCCATCAATAAACGTGGATTTTTTAAAAATATTTTTTTTAACGGCCATCAATAAACGTGGATTTTTTAAAAATATTTTTTTAACGGCCATCAATAAACGTGGATTTTTTAAAAATATTTTTTTAACGGCCATCAATTAACGTGGATTTTTTAAAAATATTTTTTTAACGGCCATCAATAAACGTGGATTTTTTAAAAATATTTTTGTAACGGCCATCAATAAACATGGATTTTTTAAAAATATTTTTTTAACGGCCATCAATAAACGTGGATTTTTTAAAAATATTTTTTTAACGACCATCAATAAACGTGGATTTTTTAAAAATATTTTTTTAACGGCCATCAATTAACGTGGATTTTTTAAAAATATTTTTTTAACGGCCATCAATAAACGTGGATTTTTTAAAAATATTTTTTTTAACGGCCATCAATTAACGTGGATTTTTTAAAAATATTTTTTTAACGGCCATCAATTAACGTGGATTTTTTAAAAATATTTTTTTAACGGCCATCAATAAACGTGGATTTTTTAAAAATATTTTTTTAACGGCCATCAATAAACATGGATTTTTTAAAAATATTTTTTTAACGGCCATCAATAAACATGGATTTTTTAAAAATATTTTTTTAACGACCATCAATAAACGTGGATTTTTTAAAAATATTTTTTTAACGACCATCAATAAACGTGGATTTTTTAAAAATATTTTTTTAACGACCATCAATAAACGTGGATTTTTTAAAAATATTTTTTTAACGACCATCAATAAACGTGGATTTTTTAAAAATATTTTTTTAACGACCATCAATAAACGTGGATTTTTTAAAAATATTTTTTTAACGACCATCAATAAACGTGGATTTTTTAAAAATATTTTTTAACGACCATCAATAAACGTGGATTTTTTAAAAATATTTTTTTAACGACCATCAATAAACGTGGATTTTTTAAAAATATTTGTTAAAGGTCCATCAATAAACGTGGATTTTTTAAAAATATTTTTTTAACGGCCATCAATAAACGTGGATTTTTTAAAAATATTTTTTTAACGGCCATCAATTAACGTGGATTTTTTAAAAATATTTTTTTAACGGCCATCAATAAACGTGGATTTTTTAAAAATATTTTTGTAACGGCCATCAATAAACGTGGATTTTTTAAAAATATTTTTTTAACGGCCATCAATAAACGTGGATTTTTTAAAAATATTTTTTTAACGGCCATCAATAAACGTGGATTTTTTAAAAATATTTCTTTAACGGCCTTCAATAAACGTGTATTTTTTAAAATTACTTTTTTAACGGCCATCAATAAACTTGGATTTTTTAAAAATATTTTTTTAACGGCCATCAATAAACGTGGATTTTTTAAAAATATTTTTTTAACGGCCATCAATAAACGTGGATTTTTTAAAAATATTTCTTTAACGGCCATCAATAAACGTGGATTTTTTAAAAATATTTTTTTAACGGCCATCAATAAACTTGGATTTTTTAAAAATATTTTTTAAAGGACCACCAAAAAACATGGATTTTATAAAAATATTTTTTAAAGGTCCATCAAGAAACGTGGATTTTATAAAAATATTTTTTCAAGGGTCACCAATAAACGTAGATTTTTTAAAAAAATATTTTCAAAAATATTCCGATATGTCGGTTACTTTCAAAGTTATAGTTAAAATACCAAAGCTGTATATGTGTCGTATACATATTGTCGTCACTCATACGCAGCCTGGTACAAAATGAATTGAACTTCAATTTTGAGTGAAATTTTTGGTGGTTTAGAAAGATATTTTACTTGGGACTGACTAGAATTACGAAAATAGTAGACTTGCGTTAATTAAAAAAAAAAAAATACATCGTTGCGATTTTTTAAAGGAATTTTGGGAGAGACTTTCAAGGCATTAAACGTGGATTTTTTAAGAATTTCTGAGAGAGACATTCCAGCCATAAAACTTGGATTTTTGAAAGAATTTTTGAGAGAGAGATACCAGCCATTAAACGTGGATTTTTTAAAGAATTTTTGAGAGAGAGATTCTAGCCATTAAACGTGGATTTTTTAAAGAATTTTTGAGACAGACTTCCAGGCCATTAAACGTGGATTTTTTAAAGAATTTTTGAGACAGACTTCCAGGCCATTAAACGTGGATTTTTTAAAGAATTTTTGAGACAGGACTACAGACCATTAAACGTGGATTTTTTAAAGAATCTTGAAGACAGGACTACAGACCATTAAACGTGGATTTTTTAAAGAATTTTTGAGACAGGACTACAGCCATGAAATGTGGATTTTTTAAAGAATTTTTGAGACAGGACTACAGCCATGAAATGTGGATTTTTTAAAGAATTTTTGAGACAGGACTTTTATAAATTTTTAGGGAAGGATTTTTTTGATGAAATTTCAAAAGAGGCGTATAACTTATGTCGCCACGTATACGCCCTATGTCCCTTTGGTTACAAACGAATTTACTAAATAATTATGAAATATACCCAAGTCCACTTTGCACAGCCAAAGTTTTTCATTCAATTTTTCTCTCAAAAAAAAAAAAAAAAAAAAAAAAAAAAAAAAAAAAAAAATCAGACCTTGACTTGAATACCGCCACAAAAATTATTTAGACGGCTTTCCAAACAATAATGGAATTTTAACGTTATTTTTTAAGAGTGTGTGTGTGTGTGTGTGGAAAAAAGATATGAAAAATGGCATGGCCTCCCTCCGTGTGTTTTTGGAAAATGTCATTACACAGAGATTATCTTTGGAAAAAATCTATTGTGAGGCAACGACAAAGTTGCGGTATCAATGGCTGGCAGCTGCTGTTGCTGCTGCCGTTAATATCGGAAAATATTAACAAAGATATGGCATGGCACATATTGAACCGGCCAGCACAGCCGACCAGTCTCTAGATCTGCACCACACCCTTGGCGTGGTGAAACCTCAACGGCAGCGTTCGATTGTCGTGATATCAGCCACAGAAATTATTTAAGTGTCAATAATCGGAAAACGTGATAAAACTGGACTCAAATGAC